GGCCAAACAACAGCTAACCGACAAACACACCAGACTCGGGCTCCATTAGCGACCTTAAACAATTTCACACATCTATTGATTCATGAAATACCGTTTTATCATTTATTGAACTTTAATACCGTGATAGGAAATAGGGTGAGGGGTCCTTACTTATTTCGGGGTCCGAATACGGCTCTACAGCGCGCCTACAGGCTGTCCCTAATTTTTCCTAAATTCTTTCCGGGGAACTGAAATGCACTACTGGTACCTGCACGTGTCCCAAAAAATCCCAAATTAGACCCAAGGCCCCTTTCGGCCAATATCGCAATTCCGGCACGGTGGCTCCGCCGTGCTCCGGCGACGGCGATTCACCTCGGGTTGGCCATTTTCGACCGTTTCTGGCCGAATTCGGCCACACTTGCATCGGTCCCTGCGATAAAACAACCCTAGGGCCCTCGGGGGGCCAAAAATTTACGAAAAACTGAAGCTTACCGGCGGCGGTGCTCTCGGGTGCGGTGGCTCTCCGGCGAGGTTCGTGTTTTGGTGATTTGGCTCCGATCAACCTGTAGAGAAAAGAATGGTGATCACGGTGATATAAAAATTGTATCAAACGGAGGCCGGGAAGGGCCTCATCGGAGGCAAAAACCGAGGAGGGGCGCGGCGGCGCCGCTGGGTTTCGGCCGTGTTTTCCAGTCGTTTGGCCGGGATTTTGGCTCCGATTTGGCCATAGGGAACTCAGCATTGAAAAACGAGTCGGGGGTATGAAATTTACCTCGATCGGCGGTCGAAAAACTCCCCGGTGCGGCGGCGGGTGGCGGCGGCCGGCTTCTCCGGCGAGGGCAGGCGGCTAGGGTTTTTGTGGTCAGGTGTGGGGGTTCTATTTATACCCCTTTGCCTTTTGATCACAGCCATCCATTTTGATTAAATCTAGGCCGTCCGTGCGCGATTGAATCTGGACCGTCCGTGCGCGTGCATCTGGGCCGTCTGTGCACTTGCATCTGGGCCGTCCGTGCGCATGCTTAATCTGGGTCGTTCGTGCGCGCGGGGACGCATCTGGGCCGTCCGATCGCGCGCACGCGAATCGCCCACGTGGCCCATTCCCGGGTCGACGTGGTCTTGCCACGAGGCAGGTCCTAGTTGGCCAGGGCTGCTGACTGGGCCGCTGACGTGGCTGCTGACGTGGCTGCTGACGTGGCGCTGACGGGGTACAATTTTTTTAAATTACGTTTTGACCCCCAGTTTCCGATTTTCTTTTCAAAAATACCCCCAGAATCCTAATTTTCACTCCTTTTTCCCAAAATCAATTTCAATTAAATCCAAATAATATTTTTACCCAATTTTACAATTATTGTTATTTTTATTTTTATTAAATTAAATTAAAATAAACTAAATAAAATAAAATTAATAATAATAATAAAAAAATTTAAAAATTATTGGACGTTACAATATATATAGAGATTTGTTTGATTTTTCAATCTATATACCCTAAAAGATAATATTATGTGATGTAAATAAAACTCAAAAATTTTATTTCACAATAAAATTAAATTGTTCCATTCTACACATGTAGACAACTTTATCGTTGTGTACCCAATAAAATTTAATAACAAAAAAAAAAAACAGTAAGCGAGTCTTTAACATTAACCACTTTAAATTTTATAAGTATGGAGAGTTTATTTTAGACATTCCAACAAAATAAGGTATAAATTGATCAAAGTATGAGATGTCTATTGAGCCATATGCAAAATAATATGGTGTTTTTGGTATTTCCCTAATTTAAAATATGATACTTAGTTTACGAAAGGAGTATATTATTTTTTAAATAATCAACCTCGGTTATAATTATATCATAATATCAAGAATATTTATATAAATTATTAGTATGTAGATTACCTAAGATTATATTATGAATGAATTTGGAAATGATGTACAATTCGTTTACAAATTTATATTTAGTTACAAATTGTATTAAGATGACAAAAAATTTTAGTATATATGAATCTTATGAGAAACTAAAATAATATATTTCAAGTTCCATTAATTTTCATGTAAACTCAATTTTTATTGTCTTATATAAGGCTCTCATAATTTCTTCAATAAAATAAACATGGGTTGAATGAATTTTATACAAACTTTGAATTTGCTCCAAATATAATCTAAACCTATATTTTTTA